TCTCTCTTTCTTTCTTAAAATTCCTTTCCTTCTTTCTTTCTTTCTCTCTCTCTCTCTCTCTCTCTTTCTTTCTTAAAATTTCTTTCTTTCTTTCTTTCTTTTGTCAGAGTGCAAAATTTGGAGCCATATCCAAATTGTCGTAAAACTACTCATGGTGACGTATGCCTCGCCCAGTTTACGGCAACTGTGGCTCTTGTGACCTTTCACCCAGTTCAACTCTCCGTACGGTCATGTTGCGTCACATTTTACTCTCCTAGTCCACTTTTTCCTTCGTTTTGAGTCCTAAAACTCCATCACAAGCATGGATACCGCCGTACAAGTACTGGACACGTACAGGGGAAGGGACAAAGTCATCCGAACTTGCGGGTACACCATCCAACTCATCGCGGGACTGTTACCGAAGGAGCACCAAGCTTTTGCGGACGCCTTGATCGGGACGGCTTCGACTCTTAGCGGCTCTAGAGTCGTCCTAAGACTTTGCGACGACATCCCGATGCTTGCATACAACATGGGATACGGCTTGGGTGGACATGTAAGTACTGTGTAGCGGTAGCGTAAATTCCATTCGGAATCAAGAGGTCCTGGGTTCGAACCCCACCTTGTCACCGATCTTGTGCCGTTGGGAAAGGCACTTTACACGACTTTCCTCACTTCACACAGGTGAAAATGTGAAAATGAGCATGCCAGAATGATCATAATCATGATCGTGGGCATTAAAAAGAAAAAAGAAGAAGAAAAAGAAGAATTATAGGTAGATATTTTTATTTTTGTAGGTTTGTTTTGTTGTTGTAATTGCCACGCCCCCCTCCCCACCTGTGTCAGCCGCCTTTCGAAAGCTTTCCGGATGTTTACGTTGGACTTCGATCGCACAAGGCGTTCTTTGTAAAGGTGCAGACGTGGCAAGTGCGTAAAACACACAGCAACTCAAATATTTGCTGTAAACTCCAATATATATATATCCTGGCTATTTATCTAAAATTTTACGAGTTTTAGTAGTGGTAGTACAGAAAAAAAAATATAGCTGCGTATTAAAACTTTTAAGTATTAAAGTATTTTATGGGTTTTTGTTAGAATTTAGACTTCTAATGTAGGGTATTTACTTCTAATGTAGGGTAATTAAGAGATTTTTTTTAATAATTCATGCAGATTTGCAGAACATTCCATCTCAAACTGACGAAGCAATGAAAAGGGAATCAATTTTTGACACATCAATATATTTATGTATCACTACGTCTTCAAATTTTCATGTATGTTAGTCATCGCATTACTACATACAGTTGTTTCAGTCCCAATTTGACTATTTTAAGTGTCACAACCTTAAATGGCTTAAACATAAGTAACGTTACTATAACAGCTTTTATTGATTATCATATAGCTGCGCCATATGTCGATTTCACAACAAAACATCCTTGTTTTTGTTTCACATATCCTCTACTCTTACAATGCAAAAATAGGTATTAAAATACAAAAAATGTTATTATTAAAAGACAGTTTCGTTATCAGAAATTTGCTTGAACTCACGATTAGCCATACTTGATTGTTTACTGTATTATCTCGTAATGTTCAGTAATTAGGAGAGTGATTAGGATGTTAATTTAAATTCTATACCCATTTCTTTTATACTATGTCCAATAGTCATTGCCATATGTTGTACATATAGAATACAACACGGTGTATTCCGTATCGCCCGAGGTATCGGCCCGACTCGCCGGAGGGCCGGGACCGAGGGCGATGCGGAATACACCGTGTTGTATTTTATTTATGTCATACCCACCCAAAAAAACACGCCTTTCAATGCCACTAAACCTTTGGTGCCACTAAACCCTAAAATGCAACAACATCAATTCCAACGTCCGGATTCTGTATTCGAATTTTCGAAAGGGGCACAAGCGGGTAGGGCGAAACGCGATCGAATCGTTTTATGGAAGCCATGGAAGCATTCGATAACGGGTTCCGTACAGGGCCGTACCGTAAAGTACGGCCCGGTCCGGAACCCGTTATCGAACGTTATCGCGGCCCGGGTATGATATAACATGTGCAATTGTCATGCAATAAAGTTCTTCTAATATCTTCGGTGACCTTTGACCCACAGGAAAAGGACCAGTTCATTCGATGGGTGGACGTGGTGAAAAACATGGTGGACCAGTTCTACGGCCCGGTGGAGCACGTGATGTGGGCCACGGAACGCCAGCTGCTGCCCGGCGCGTACACGGAGAAACTCAAGGAGTGGTGCACCAAGATCTGGGCTATTTCTCTAACCTTGAACATTCTCAGGTAACCAATCAGCACTCTCCTAGCATCCTGCTACATTGCTGCATTGTGGGAATTGTATCTGACCAATCAGGTAGCCCTTTACAAAATGCAGATAGACATTGTATAATGTCTAGTTTGGATGGAAATACATGTACAGCAAAACTTGTTTATATATATTTCTTGAAATAAACTTTTAGAACATGTAGTTGTACTTTGTAGTTTTATAAAAATCTAGAGACTTTGAATATTATATTTTTTGTATAATTCAATATTTGGATGTAGCAATATTCCAGAAAAGAAATTAGTGCATGTATTCATATGGTTCCATCTTCCATGCATGTTGACATTATAAGGGCAACCCTAGGAGAAAGATACAATTCTCACAATACAGCCCTCCTCAAAAAAAACTAACAACAACACTTTGATTTTTCACAGAAAATCTCAAATCTTGGGCACGTGAATTCCAAGCCAGTGGAAACCGTGGTCTTCAACTTTATTTCCAGTTTAATGTCGTCTTATTTTCTTATTCTCCAGGAGAGAGACAGGTTTCTCCGATGGCTAGGTGTGGCGAATAACGCGTTAGACCAGCTGTACTATCCTGTAGAGCACGTAGCATGGGCAGCAGAGCGCCAAATCCTCCCCCCGTCTTTACGTGGACTCTCCCAGTGGTGCCTGAAAATCTGGGCATGCTCACTCACCCTCAACATACTTAGGTAGGGCCTAGGAAAAAAATGTTGTGTTTCCTGTTTCAGTCCTGGAGAAGTTAGGATGGGTACATATAAATTATCTTTTTTTACATCTTTTATTTTTTTACTTTGACCAAGAAGCTTCCATCCTTGCTTTGACAATCTCTACTGATCCAACTTATGCAATACAATTAAACAAAGTAAAACTTGCAAGAGGACCTTTATATTATATATTTCCAATGTCAATGTTGGAAAATCGATTGTTCAATGTTTCATCACTCAGGTGTCAGATCATGGAGCTAGAAAAAAAATAAATAAATAAATAGAGAAGGTCAATCAGCTCCAAAAAATTTTGTCCCCTGCAGGCGTCCACACACAAAAAAAGGTTCAGAAGTTTTTTCTAAGGTTGATTGGGAAACAGGAAACACAACTTTTTTTCCTAGGCCTAGCTTTTCTAATCCCTAGCCTGGTACCCAGCCTCTTCTAGCTCATCTGATCGCTTCCTAGCCTGGATGCCAGGCTGTTTCCGAGGCCTACAGACACAGGCCAGCTCCTTGGATCTAGGACAAACATAGCTTCTACCAGGCTTTGGAAGTGGCTGCAAGACTAGAAATTGGCCAAATACAGAGATAACATGCCAGGGGAGTCGGTCCGCTAGAGAGTACAATTTGCAAACTCCCCGAGCATGTTATCTCTCTATGTGGCCAATTTCTACTCTTTCCAGCCACATCCCAAAGCCTGACAGAGGCTAGGGTCAACAATAACATTTTACCACAACAGCTCCCCCCCCCCCCATAAGAGTACACTGGAGCTAGAATAGGCTGGGTACCAAGCTACTGAAATGTCTGCTGCCTAAGGCCACACCAATTTAATTTCTTGGTTAACGGATTCGCCCGCTTCATTTTTTTCTGATTTGCAAACAAAAATTCAGAATCAACTGCAAAATGCTCATATTTTGCCCTGAACAGTTGAAAACAGTCCTTTTCTTCCTAGTTGTTACAGTTATTCCATCTTTCAATACAGTGGTATCATTAAAAGTTCAAAATTCATTGTTTAAATTTTTAAAAAGTCTGGTGTGTTGACTTCATGTCTCCTATCGTACTATTTTGGGCCATAATAGGATGCCTAGGCCTGTTTTTATTTTTATTTTTTTTTCACCTGCCTGCTCCATTATTATTCTAGAAAAATCCGTTAACCAAGAAATTAAATTGGTGTGGCCTAATCCTCTAACCTATACGAAGTTGGTGCTTGATTAGGATACCTAAGAAGGTTGATACACATTAGTGATGCCAGTGTGATTTCTTTGTGACAATTAGACAATTTTATTTTAGTAAAATTGCCATTGAAAAGTTGGTGATGTTGCACATTGTATCAATAATGCTGGGGATTTTAATGAAAATTTGTGGATATGAAGGAAAAAAGCAATTTGATTACTGCAGTGCTTTCTTATTTAATTTTTTAATCTAGTAATTTTTTTTGTTCACTCCAGGTCCTTGAGAGCTTTGATAATCCTCAGACTGAAGAAACAAAGGCTGGCAAAGTCAAAACAGATGGAAGAAAAGTAAGCTAGCCTATTAACTAGGGTTGGGCTACATCATGTTGCAATTTTATAGCAGGAGGGATTTAGACTCCTGTCTGACCATATGTATGAATGTGTTTGAGTAAGAATTAACAGAGCAGACCATATGCAAAGGTAAACATTATGCATTTGCTTTAAATTTGCAAATGTTACCTTTCTAGTTTTGTGTTGATTGTGCTTGCAACATCTAAAGTTTTCACCTTAAATTGTCTAAAAACCAATGAAAACACCTTCTTTCCCTTCATCTCTTTACCTAGTACCTAAACTATCTACCTACCTCGAGCTCTTTAGTGAGGATATAGACTTTTCTTCTTACACAACCATAGAGTTTCTCACCTGCTTACGTTTCGATGTCTATCAGACACCTTCCTCAGAGCTTCTGACTGGAGTTCTGCAACTCGCCGCTATTTAACGCCAAAGTAGGTGGCGCTTTTGCGGCGAGAATGCAATCCCAAACGTGGCTGAGCTTGTATCCCCCCTCGTCCCGGTTCATCACTGGGGTTGACTTCCTTATCCAGACTGCTTCTTTAATCCAACGGATTCTTCTGTTGTCCTCTCTATCTATGACCCTGGCTCCCTCCCAGTCTATCACACAATTGTTCCTGGCAACATGGTCTGTCAACCCCAGTGATGAACCGGGACGAGGGGGGATACAAGCTCAGCCACGTTTGGGATTGCATTCTCGCCGCAAAAGCGCCACCTACATTGGCGTTAAATAGCGGCGAGTTGCAGAACTCCAGTCAGAAGCTCTGAGGAAGGTGTCTGATAGACATCGAAACGTAAGCAGGTGAGAAACTCTATGGTTGTATAAGAAGAAAAGTCTATATCCTAAGTATCTTCCAACCTGATGAAATTATTTACGGCTCTTTAGTGACTTACAAAAAGAGTTTTCCTTGAAAGTAACTCTTTTTTCTTCCTCTCTTCCAGTGACGAAGCTGACAAAAAAGAGTCAATGAAAACTCTGAAGTTACAAGTGTTTAACATCTTTTTTTTTCTTTTATTCCAGTGACGAAGCTGACATAAAAGAGTCAATGAAAACTGGCGTTACTAAGTTACAGGCGCTTAACATCTATTTTTCTAACAATTATTCTTTTATTCCAGTGACGAAGCTGACATAAAAGAGTCGATGAAGACCCTGAAGTTTCAGCCGTTTAACATCTTTTTTTTTCTTTTATTCCAGTGACAAAGCTGACATAAAAGAGTCAATGAAAACTCTGAAGTTGCAGGCATTTAACGTCTTTTTTTTTCTTGTATTCCAGTGACGAAGCTGACATAAAAGAGTCAATGAAAACTCTGAAGTTGCAGGCGTTTAACGTCTGGTTGACGCTGGTCGGGAGCTCGACAGATTTGGTCAACGCCATCAACTGGATGCCTCTCCCGGGTTTCTGTGGGCGGGGAAAAACCCGCTGGCTCTAACCGGCGTCATGGGCATGATCTCTTCTTCCATTGGGCTGTACAGGGTTTACGCCTCGAAAGTCAAGCAGGCGTAAAACATTGTACACCAGGGCTCAAAGTAGCCTCCATAGCAGACTTAAAGAACTGGGTGTCTTCAGCTGTTTTCTGATTAGCCCAGTTCTATTTTGTCTATATGCAATCAGAAAATAGCACATTAAAGCTCCCAAAGACCATGAAGACCCCCAAACCTCCCAGTTTTTGGCATGCTATGGAGGCTAGGCTCGAAGTTCATTTTTTGGGAATAGGTGCACTGGTGCACCCAACCTAAATATTGGCAATTGGGTGCACAAATCTTCACATACATAACCTACAAAAAAAATTGGGTGCACAACTCCAAATTTGGTACACTAAGGTGCACATGCATCCAGTATTTTGAGCCCTGGTACAGGTATGTCAATTGAAATGTGCCAGATGATGTGCATTCATATCAGAAATACTGCCAAATCATTTATGTACTGTGAATTCACAGTAGTTCCCTATGGATGCATCCAAGGTTGTTTGTGTCTATTAGTTTGTATAAGTTTGTGGTTTGAATTCAATGCCCAGGTTTGAATTCAATGCCAACAATAGGTAAAAAATAAAACATGAGAGATTTTAGTAATATGTCAATGTGTGAATTGACAAAGACATACATATGTAGTTATGTGTTTTACTACATGTGAGCAGTGGTATATTAGGATTATGGAATTGACCATAGGGTAACAGTTATGAAAATATATTCATATCAATGACCATAACTAAATATAATCTCTTGTACTGTGACTTCTCAATTTCATTGCTGCAATGAATAATCTATGGGGCCAATCATGCAATTTCTTCAAAAGCTCGCCAGAAAATGTGTTTAACAATTTTTATAATCATGGTGCTTACTAATAATTAAAATGGAAGAGTTGTATATAGTACTTTCAGGGGATTGTCTTGTTTAAAACTTTAGGCCACACCAAGTAAATTTTAAGGATGACGTCCTTTGGAGACCCTAAATCTAATGCGAGAGGGAGAAAAAAAAACAAGAAGGGCCCTAAAAAACAAGATGCCTAGATTAGAAATATACTAAGAGACGACAAATGTTAGGACACAAATTGAATGATGTGACAAAATTTGTAACAAGTAAGAAGTCTTTTTATTCATCATCAAAACAGCAATAAATCAGGTGGAACAGCAGTTGTCGTCCTGTCCTGTTTTCGTGTTACGGGTTTCACGTCAATCTGACGATTTGCAGCACTGTCATGACTCTTTGGTCATAGTTACAGGAAGCGGAATTTCTTTTTTTTTTTTTTTCAAGGAACAGGCCAAAATCAATGCACGCGCAGACGTCATCCATAAAATTTACTTGGTGTGGCCCTAGATAAAATGTGTTGTTACTGTAAATGCTTTTATTTTAGGAGATGCAAAAGAAATGTTTTCTTAGCAATATGTTCTCATTAACAAGCATTTCATCAACTTTTGCTTGTATTTCTGAACTTTCAAAGGCAACAAGTTGTAAAATGTAAATGAAATATTTAAATCATAACCTTTGGGTGCCTTGAATATTTCAATATCAAATTTAATGTATTGGGTTAATATGACCACAGTTATGTACACAATACATAAGGAAGAAGTTTATGCAGTTACATTGTAATTGAGATTTCTGCAATATACATGATTAAAACTTGCTACTTTTCAGTAACTTAAGTGCAATTAAACATTGTTATGTTCATAGAACCAGGGATTTCTCAATCATTGTAATTTTTATTATACTGCATCATGTATGTCACAGCTAATTTAAGTATGTTTGTCCTGTTCTTTTGTGTTGTTGCTACTAGTATTTATATCTGTATGTTTAGATATGAGGAAGAGAATATTTGCAGTTCAAACTGTGAATTGGCTTATTAGTTATGTCCTAATTTACATAATAGCGGCAAAACAATAAACCACAAAAACTGCCATCTTGTTTATGCCAATTTATTTCATGGACTCAAAGTACAGTTAGTGTGAAAGAATCGCCACTTTTTTACTACTTGTAGTTTTATGTCAAGCTATTTGATGCAGGTTACCATTTAATTACTTAATACTAGTCTTGATATACAGTCATACATTTTGACGTTTTATCTTACTAATACACACGCGGCATATTTAAAGGGTGTACCAATGGTAAAGCAAATGAATTCCTTTTCCAAAACAAAGTGTCCAAAAAGTTTAATAGTTATTCCACTTTTTCCGGCTCTAGCAGTTCCATCAAGTTGGGCCACCCCTCCGGAGTGTCAGCCTCTTCACCCGTCTCCGGCTGCTGTTCCGTCAACTCGCTCCACCCCCGCCGGGCAGCTGAAATAGGAAAATTAACATACCGTCACTGACAATACTTCGAAAATACAATTTAGGAATATTAAATGAGGGCCTGCAAGGGGGGTTCCCGACAACGCTCTACGCTGAATTCGGAAACTTCTCGATTTAATACGCTTTACGATAAATTCCAAGTGGCTACAACGCATTACGTAGAATTAAACGCCGAATACGCTCTACGCAAAAATATTTGAGCGGTCGGTCTACGCTCTATGTAGAATTAAAATGGCCGATTACGCCCTACGGAAAAGGGCTTGCGGGCCCCCCTAAATTGTATTTTCGAAGTATTGTCAGTGAGTGTCTTTCTGTCTTACTTTAGGGGGTGAAGTTTGTCATCTCTGATATTATAACATACAATATTATACAATCATTTAAAATCTATAACAATAATCATGCAAAAAGTCAGCCATCTCTGCGCATTTGACCGTAAGGTCGTTTACCTTCCATGTCGCCCCGTGCGGCCGCCGCCTGTCTCTGTGAGTTTCTAACTCTGCTACCCTGCGGAATCAAACGGTATTGCAGTATCAGCACCCAACTCCACTACAGTAATAAATAGATCATCACGCTTGCTCTCTTTTTATTATTTTACGAAACTTTGTATGATAAAGCCGAAAGTTGACATGTGATAAATAGATTATCACATTTACAATATTTTTATTATTTCAGGAAACAGAATATCATAAATATACACGTAAAGCAGAAATTTGAAATGTGTTAACTCACGTTGAGTTTTCTCAGGTTCGCTATGAAGCGGGCATACAGGGCGTTAGGCGGGCGGGCCTGGGCAACTTGAACAACACAGAAAGTAGCACGTTATTGCTTTACACAACATTCGACAAGGTAACGTACGACAGGAACGAACGCTCTTGTCGTACGCCAAAGCAATCCGATTTACACAAGAAAAATGCGACGTATACGAAGTTTTCGTACATTAGGTTTTTGCGCATGCCCGCGTGTAAGTCGGGTCAATGCCCTTGGCGAAGGTCACGATTAAAATGGACGGTTTTCACCGACGGTTGGAGAAATCATGACAATTATTAGTTCCTCATTTGTATAGTTTGCGTTTATTTATGGTCTCTAAAATAACAGATGTCTCAAGATTGGCTCTGAAGTCATGTAATTAAAATCAGACATGTTTTTGTCTGGCTATTTTACTGCCATTGACTCCAATACAAAGAATCCGACGTTTGAGTTCAGAACGGATATTTGGGATGACCGGTTTGATCCAGTTTTGTATGCAATTTTACACGTCGCGAAACTCAGAATGCAAACCAGCGTCACCGTGTCTCTTGGCAGGCGTTTAATAGACTTCAAGCATGCGGTTGGTGGAGAAGATTGTGACCTTTCTAATATGCTCCGTTTTTTTTCTGTCACTACCCCATCAACAACAAAAACACAGGGCATATTAGAAAGGTTACAATCTTCCCCCACCAACCTCTGCTTGGAGAGTACAAACCAACGTCTGTGTGTCTTTTGAAAACTTATCGAGGAGACATGGGTGTAACACCCTTACATGACCTTTCGATGGATTTTAAGTGGCGTTCTGTTCGGAAGGAACACCCAAATAATCACTGCCTTTAACTTCCAGTGATTAACTTGTTAGGCAGTGAGAGACAGTAGTTTATCGACAAATGTACCGATTTTGTATTCACGAAAAAAGCCACCAGAATACCTTGATACCTTGATAGAAAATACAGAGAATCGAATGGAAATTACCTACACAATATGATTCTATATCCTTTAGACCAACTGTCATTTTAAATCTTACGCTAGATTTAAAGTTATCGCTGTTCAACCCATTGAATGACCTTTCCTTTTATAGAATCACTATTCGGATCAGTAATTTTAGGTTCCACCCAAGAATACGTCACCTAATTCAGCCTCGAAAACAGGCCTTTGGGCGTTTTTTTTCGCTTATAATGAGTTGTTTTCTCGTTTTATATCACTTTTTCTAGTGGCCTTTTAGGCTAGATGGCTGTTAAAACTGTGGTACAATCAGGACTAATGTACAATCAGAAAACAGCACAAGATAAACCAAAAAAGGACCCGCCAAGAAGCCTGACTGCTGAGGCTATAAGGTCTTGGGCGGTCCGGTTGTGCCGGCTAGTCAGTCTTACTCTCGACTTCGGCAGGGTAGAACGTGGTTTCAGGTAAGTCTGTTTTCCCTTGTAATTCTTAAGCAACCTTGTGTGTGAATCACAGGTTTTCTTAAATAATGATTTTATTGCATATCCATTCAGAACTCTGAAACAGGGTATAAAATAACTTTAAAATGTACATAATGAAATCTAATTGTCTAAAACTATTGCTATGTCTAAAACTATGTCTGAAGGGTTTGACTTCTCTTCTGTAAACCATGGAAGACGTAATGACCCACCTTTTCTAAAATTTGTGGGTTTTGGGAAGTTAAAAGAAGAATAGTTTTTTTTGTCTGTAAGTTTTGGGAAGTTGGGATATATTGTAGATGTTTGAATAGTCAACTCATTTCGAGAGTTGTCATGTAACGAACAGTTTGAGATAAAATGTATTTCGTCTTCCACGGCCTTTGCACTACAATTTTTTACAAAGTCTTTCACATTATACTGTATTTAATAATATCCAAGCAAATTTCGTCGGGGTAAGGTACTCTCAACTTGGCCAGGCTGGCAGTTGACTGGTAAGGTATACGGCCCGGCCAACTTAATAATGCCGTCCCCCCGAAAAGATTTGCTCGGAGATTTAATTTTCTATCTTTATAACCCGCCTGTGTGCCGTCTTTTGACATGTTGTTTGTAGAAAATGTCACTATTTGTGTTTAGCATGACATGGGGGTCTATTTTGATCATATCATATCATTGTGAGTATGGATATACCCTGTTGGTGATCTTTAAAAACCAGTCCATCCACATAAGGCCACACTGATTTTATGGGTGACATCCCCTGAAGACCCCCAAACTAGTGCGCGCGGGCGAATAAAAAAGATTCCGGCCAAAAAAAAAAGGATACCAAACCACAGGAATACAAAGCTGGTATTGTGAATTTGCGGCAGTACTTAGCGACATATTCGACAAGCTTTTTTGCGGAATTTATGAATTGGCACTGTACGTATGTACTGAGTTCTTGAGTCGTGGAGTTTCGTTTCTGTAGCCTGGGTGCCGTCCTTCGGAATTACAACGTATACTACCCAGGCCTAGAGCCAGGACAGAACCTCGGAGGACGTGATCTTTTTTTTTTTTAGAACAGGGGAAAATCAATGCGTGCGCAGATGTCATCCATAAAATTAAATAAGGCCACACCGACTTAATTTTATGGATGACATCCACGCGCGCATTGATTTTCGCTTGTCCTCAAAAAAAAAATTAAGATCACGTCCTCCAAGTCTAGCCGGCTCTGACCTGGCTCTAGGCCTGGGTAGTCCATGGTAGCTATTAGCAAAAATACGGAGGTGGTTGTAACTATCGATGATGGCACCCAGGCTGCCGAAGCTCCACAACTCAAGAACTCAGTACATACGTACAGTGCCGATTCATAAATTCCGCAAAAGGCCAGCATGTACAGGTTTGTCGTATAGGTCGCAAATTCACAATACCAGCTTTGTATTCCTGTGGTTTAGTAGCATTTTTATTTTTGGCCGGAATTTTTTTTTATTCACCCGCGCGAACTAGTTTGTGGGTCTTCAGAGGATGTCATCCATAAAATTAAGGCGGTGTGGCCTAAGTGTGGCCTAAGGCTGTAAGAGAAGGTCGAATCCACATTACCTGATGTAACGTCATAACAATTATAGTCATTATATGGGAACACCTCTGACCTCAAACACACAGCTCGCACAACAGGTTAGCTTGATATTTAGGCCACACGGTTTTAATTTTATGGATGACATCCTCTGAAGACCCCCAAACTAGAGTGCGCGCGGGCGAATAAAAAAAACTTGCGGCCAGAAATAGAAATGATACTTAACTAGGAATACAAAGCTGGTATTGTGAATTTGCGACAGTACATAGCGACGTATACAACAAGCCGGCACATGCTGGCTTTTTGCCGAATTTATAAATTGGCACTGTGCGTATGTACTGAGTTCTATAGTAGTCGTGGAGTTTCGGTAGCCTGGGTGCCCGTATTGTCGCTAACTACCTTGGACTACCCGGGCCTAGAGCCAGGCCAGAGCCTCGGTGGACGTGATTTTTTTTTTACCTCCATGAAAAATGGAGGTATTGTTTTTGGCGCGCCTGTCTGTGTGTGTGTGTGCCTGTCTGTCTGTGTGTGTGTGTAGTTCATAACGGCTTTATGAATTGTGATGATATTTGGTGTGCTGGTATGTCATCTGTAAAATTAAGGCGGTGTGGCCTAATGTAGGTTTTGCGATCTTAATTGATAACACACACTCACGATGAATTCAGATCAGGGACCTCCCTTAGCAACTTAATTATTTCCAATGCATTTATAGTGTTACTAAATTCAATAATGAAATTAAACACTTTTGTGCTATAGCTGACTACTGGAACTAATTGCTGTTCAACCAGTTGCAACAAAAACAGTGGGAAAGAGACAAGAAAGATGCCGCCAAAAGTGCCAGGAAAAAAAGCCAAGAAGGAACGCACCAAAAAGATGGGAAAGGGCAAGATCCAAACCGCCCTCACAAGTCTCATGGAGGGAGAGGTAAATTTTATTACCTTTTTTTCTAAGAAAGACTACATCGTTTCCTAGCCTCTACCAGGCGTCAACGGCGCGACTGAAAAGAGTAGAAATAGAGGTAACATTTGCAAAGCAAATGCATGTTGTTTACCTTCGGACATGGTCTGCTCTGTTAATTCTTACTCAAACACATTCACATACATGTACTACTAGTATATGGTGACAGGAGCAGAGCAGACCATGAAATTGCAACATTATGTAACCCAACACCAGTCACCATGGTGACAGACGTCAACAAATCATGTCATTGGTCAGGTCAGAGGTCACTGTTTGGAGAAGAAGAGGAAGAAACTGAGCAAAAACAATATGTTTTCCTTCGGTAAACATAAATATACAGTCAAACCTGTCCAAGCCAGCCACCAGGGGGTCACAGAAAAGTGGCCAACATGACTGAGGCATAACGCACGTTAAAGAACCCACCACACCTTTCGAAAAAGAGTAGGGGCATGCCCCGGTGTGCGATGGTCTAAGTACTTATCTGATTATTCACTACAGACTCCAGGAAGAGTAGTGTGAAATTCACACTAATGGAGATCCTAAACAAACAAACAAACAAACAAATGTTTATTTCTTTCTCACCACCAGGACAACATGAAAAAAGCTGTGAATCAAGCCTTTAAGAAACTGGACGCTAACGAGAGTGGGTTCTTGGAGAAAGACGAACTGTTCGAGGCACTGAACGACATCGTGAGTAACGTTTGAGACATTATAGTAATCTCCAAGCAGATCATACAAGTTTCAAGTTTTACTGCACTATCATAGCATACTGATATCTCATCGATCCGTGAATAGTTTCATCAGGTTGGTAAGACACTGGATAAAGAGACTATTTTTACTACAACCAAGTCTTTTATTCAGCCGACGTTTCGGTGACCGTCTGTCACCTTCCTCAGGGTAATTCTGTCTGGTTCACTTTGCACAGCAGCACAGGTGTCGTTGCTATAGATGCATCTGTATCAGCGTGATGCTACAGATGTCATCTGCATTTGGGAATGCATCTGTAGCAGCGACACCTGTACTGTAGTGCAAAGTGAACCAGTCAGAATTGCCCTGAGGTGACAGATGGTCACCGAAACGTCAGCTGAATAAAAGACTTGGTTGTGTAAAAGGAGTCTCTTTACTTCCGAAAATAATTTCATCAGGTTGGCAGAACATAGGAGACAGGTATTTCGTTTTACACAACCGGTAAATTCTCACCTTGCTGACGTTTCAGTGTCTGTCAGACACCTTCTTCAGAGCTTCGACGATGCTTACGATTTTCCTTTCACAATATTTATATTTCAGTTCATACCATGGTATGGATGAAATATATTGTGTTCCCTCATGTTTCTCCTCCTTCTCCTCCTCCTCCTCCTGCCACTCGTTCAGAGGGATTCAACTCCGCCATCATTCAGCCAAATGACTTGAAATTTGGCATGGAGGTAGAGTGGGCAAATACCCCCAGAATTTTTTTCATTTTTTTGAAACATGCCTTTGAAAAATTTTTATGAAGGTTTTTTGGGGCATTTTTCGACAAAAAATGGATTTTTGGATCCTGAGCCCTGGTATAACAACCAAATGATATGACATTCGGTATAAGGGTACCTTGAACGTGTGTCTACAGAATAGCAGTCACATATTTGGCATACACCACTTCCAAATGACTCATTTGGGGGACTTTAATGGCTATTTTCAGCAAAAAAAGGGCCAAAAGTGCTATACCCGTTCCATGTTCTATCTAAAGAATGGCCGATTCCATCCATGGAACACGTGTTCCATTGCGGGTTACCTGAGTTCACATTGCACCTAAGTGGTGCGTAATGACCCACACATTCAATTTTATGTGCCTAAGACCTTCAAAATGTATCAAATCTCATCATTGCTAGTTTTTGCATACCTGTAATAAGATTAGTAAAGCTTTCGAGATTCAAAGTACTTGTTGTTGCATCTTTGTTCCCATATAGCTACTTTTTAATTTATTTATTTGAGAACCTTTGCCAGTTTTGCACTGGGGTAAGTTTGGAATAGTCCACTTTTGCGTGGGAGGGAGATGGACTGAAATATGCTGTATTTGCTCCCAAGCAAATGTCGGCCTTTCTAGTAGGATATATATTAATAAGAAATTCACAACAGCTCATAAGTTTGTTGTTCTTTTTAGCTTGGTGCGGCTGACGACGAAAAGGGGATTGGGAAAAAGCAGTTCGACAAATTTTTCGCAAATTTGGACAAAGACGGTAAGTAGATATTTTTTTCCTCCTTGTTCTTCTCCTTCGCATAAGGTCAATGACCTGGACTAAACGTCTGTCACAATGGTAACTGGTGCTGTAGCAGACACTGTAGTGATGGGTTGCATTATGTAGCAGGACGAGTTGGAGGGGCTGGTCACCATATACTACAGCTAGTATATGAATGTGTTTAAGCAAGAATAATTAGAACAGTAGTTTGCTAGGCTAGACTTTGTAAAGGTAAACATTATGTAAATTTGCTTTGCAAATTTTACCTGTACTAACAGTTGTTTTTCTGTTCTTACAATATAGGCGACGGGAAAGTCTCCAAGGAAGAGTTCGCTAAGCGAGCTAGAAGACTCTTTAAGAAGATGCATGAGGTGAGACAGTTCTTTCCTTATACCTTTCCTAGGACGAGCTTCACCGCCTCTGGCGGGACCACGTCGGCATTCGGCCGAGATACGCTGGGAGGGGGGCACCAGCAAGCAGGTCGTTGACCTCTGACATTGATAACACGCTACCTTGCGTGTTTTCATTAAACAAAAATTGATGTAGATTCGGAGAATCGTGATCGGGCACGGTTTGAAAGGAATGTGTGGCGCGTGCATCAGATGTGAGGAATGCGAGTTACCCGAATCGCGGTTCGGGTGACTTCACATGAACAAGGCCTTTGTCATTATTTCCTAATTTTGTTTTCGCAGGAGCCAGATGCTGATGACGATGATGATGATGACTAGACCCCGAGCAGGTCGGCTCAGTGACTTGGTCCCCTTTCGAACGGATGGTCTAAATTAGGCCACAGCAAATAAATTTTATGGATGACATCCACCGCAGACTCCAAATCTAATGCGAGCGGGCGAAAAAAAATGGGCCGAAAAAAAAAGCTTTCCTAAATTTTAAAATTTTGACTCAGTCATGGTACAAATGGTTTTGATTCAGTGGGAACATCACATATACACAGCCAGCATCACATATCACTGCATCAAAGTAAGAAACAAAACATTAAATCAGAGCCTTTTCTTGTCTCCTCTCTTCATAGTTATCTGCCATCCACCTTCCGGCATGGCAACAGACATCTTTGCCCATTTTTCGGCATGTCGACCACTGTCAGAAGGCAACAAAATTTCTTCTCCTTTTTTCAAAATCCATAAAAATTACTTGCTGTGGCCTTACTAGCCTCTACCAGGCTTCAGATGCGGCTGGAAAGAGTAGAAATTGTAGCCTGGGTACCATGCTATTTGTATGCCGGGGCTCCCATACTCGTTTTCTAAGAAATATTTCTTAGGGAGCGAGTAAGGGGTAGCCTGGGTACCATCCGGATTTTCGCTACGCAACGCTACGAAAAAATGTATTTTCTTTTTTCGAGCGTTGCGTAGCGAAAATCCGGATGGTACCCAGGCTAAGTATAGGAGCCCCGGCATACAAATAGCATGGTACCCAGGCCAAAGAAATTGGCCAAATAGGCAGATAACATACCGGGGGAGTTGGTCCTCTTAAGAGTGGCAAGCTCTTTTAGCGGACCAACTCCCCTGGAAAGTTATCTATCTCTTTAGCCAATTTCTACTATTTTCAGCTGCATATGAATCCTAGTTGGACAGGCTAGAAATTCAGTGAAGGTAGAAACATGTCTTCAAAAGCAAGCTATGTCCTAACTAGACCGAATGTCACCAAGAGAAGAGCCTGAATTTATGAAATAAAATACTAGGAGTTCCTGACAGACTCTGAGCATATATCTGACTTCACATCATTTTTTATTTGTTTGTTTGTTTGTTTGTTTGTTTATTTCGATCCCCATTAGTGCTTAAAAGCACTATTCTTCCTGGGGTCAATAAAAATGAAACATAAATAACAAAACTTGTACATAATGATGATTACAAAATAATAAAGTATGTTCAAAATCAATAGGAGGGGTCAGAGGTCGACCTAAAAAAAACACAAAATAATCTGAACATAATCCAGAGTTGTACGTAACAACAAAGGTGCCCACAAAATTAACAAAGGTATAAATAACTTAAATAACTGAATAGAACATAATGTCCAACTGATCATAATTCCAAAGATAAATATAACAAATTGATCAGCCATTTA